AAGAGTTGACATTTCCCCTTCATTTTCCAAGATTATTGATTAACTTTAAATATTACTCAAGAGGAGTTCAGACCACACCATGTGCAATTATGTTGTTCACCACTATTTTATACCGATTTGATGTTGAGGGTTTTTGGAACCTTCAAATAGATATCTCCTTGGTTGATTAAATTGTGTTTTCCAAATAGACTGTTGACTAGACACTTATACTTCATGTTTTTGGAACCTTCAAATGGATATTGAAGAGTGTCCCATATCTCCTTGGTTGATTTTCACAACTTGATGTGATCAAAGAGAGATGGTGGAACACCAAAAACCCTTTCGGAAAACACAATTTGATCAACAGGGAGCTTCTCGATGCCTTTGGTTGTTAGGGTGCAAGTATGAGTTCGTCTTGAGCCATCAATGTAGCAGTAATATCTCTAACCATTTTCCTAACATGGACATGAGGACCTTCTTTCACATATCTCCATATTACTTCACTTTTTTTTCCAACCACAAATCTCTCCATTCAAAATTTCCAATGATCATACTCTTCCACAACTAGCAATGGGGCTATGGTAGAGCAACCAACTATTTTCAATTTGCATTGAATACATTTGTTGAGATTGATTAAGGGCAGCCATTTTTGTGTGATATTTGAACAAAAGTGGTATATAGAAGGACTTTTATCTTCAAACAGAAATGATTAAGATACCAAGGTAATATCAACCAACTATAAACTGATATTACGGATTCAAAGCAAACCACTTAGCCTTTGATACCAATTGTGAGTTCAAGAACGATATCCAAGATATATAGGATATGGTTTGATAACACAAACCTTGAGATAAACACAATAATAGGTGCTGATATTGTTTCCAGTCAAGTCTGGATAAACCAGTTGAGACATAAAAGTTTGAATACGAAAAAAGAACAAGCAGAATAAGAGATAACAATTAAATGAATGATTCTTGATTTGATATTTCAAACGCGAAAAGAGGTAAGGAATTACATGAGGAATAGTCCTATTTATACTAACATAGAACCAATCATATTACAAGATAATTGTACTAAAAGGTAGATCATAGATCAACAAGCCTTCAAACATCGGAACACAAAAAGCTTTAAACACTCATCAATCTCTGATTTCCTCATTCTACATCTCATCGGAAAAACATTTACCCTGGATCATAGAATTGCAAGTTGCCAAGGTTTGAAGAAAAACATAATAATATGTAAAACCTCAAGAGCATCAAGGTTTGAAGAAAAACATAATAATATGTAAAAACAAAATAAAAATTAAACTATCAATAAACTATAATAAAAAAAAATTCGAACTAAACGCAACCGTTACCCAGCAACAGTTTTTAAAGGCTTTTACACCATATTCATTAAGCAAAATATAAACTAGGGCTCATCAAGATCTACGAAAAGTAAAGCAATTAATCGAACATAAATATTAACCAAACTCACATAAGCCTACTTGCTAAATCAAAACATATCAACTAGGGTTCATCAAGATCTATTGAAAGTAAAGGTTTTATAACATATTCAATAAACCAAATGATAAAAACAACACCAAAAGATTACTAGAAATGATCATCAAACAAAATATTAAAATTTTATGTAAAATTCTTCTCTCCTCCTTTTCCATCCTAGCTCCCATTTTAACTATAATTGAACATTTCAATGCATATTAAGTATTATATATCTTAAAATATTATATTTTTATCCAATATAATAAGATCGGAAAATATATAGTTAAATAAGGTCATATCAAGAACTAAGAATTATAAAACCAAAGGAAAGTGATTAACAACCAATTAATCAAACAATTGGAACATGAACACAAGAGGAAATAGAAATCAAAAACCTTAACAAGATTATTGATTAATTCCAAGATTCAATTGATTCCACCAAAATCAACACTCCAGCCTTCCTTTCCTTCAAGTTTGTTTTTTTTCCCTTCTTGCCTCACTCTCAGATCGACAATCACATCAGGTGTCTAAGAGAAACTAGATTTGTTTTTTTTTTCATTCCTTGTCATTTAACCAAATACAACAACAATAGAAGCCCACGTTCTTCCTTCCATCTTCTTATTGCTCAACTTTTTCTTTCTCCCTAGACAACGCAAACACAAGTGCAATAGCCAATGAATCCATTTGGGTCGAATCTTAACTCACACATAAAGCCCAAGGAAGAAACAGACGTAGTTAATGACCCATCGATCTAATTCATGCGGTTGTTACAACATAAATTGCAATCTAGTCCATCAATTTCCATCCATGTGTTCCTTCCACCTTAATCCTATGTACATGACATTTCAAGTTTCTATTAATGACTTTTTCATCCTTCAATTCTATTAATACCTTTTTAAAAACTTTTATTTATCCTAATTATTCAATAAATCAATTTAATTGAATGTTATTTCTCTTAATTTTTTGACTAATTCTTTTAGATATTCAATAATACTATTTTTATTTAATTTATTCCATTTTAACATCATAAAACTAAAATCAATCGCATCAATAGTTATTTGAGTAACAAAAAGCTATTGTCAACAACACAAGGATTTTCAGGTCATTACACCATGTATAGTGGTTAATTTGAACAGTTTGTTAGTGTGAACAAATTCCAACTAATATTCACATCATAAGTGTTGTATTCATCATCTATCTTGATAAACAACATTTCCATTTACTATAATACTTATGACAAATGATTTCCAAAATCCTATCCAACTGCATATTTGGTGATGCATTTCTCATTTATATGACCAACAAGATGATTCCCCAAATACATTTCATCCAAACTTTTAGATGTATTTTAAACAACATTGAACTATTGTTATAATACTAGTTTCATAGATTTCATCACTTGCTTCTAAACATAAAACATATAAAATGTTTTACATTTAAATAAGTTAAAACCATATCATGAAGCATTTTATAAACAATTTCAATCATAACACCATAGACTAAACATTAAGAAGAATGAGTTGTACTTATGATCCTAAGGATAGTAGCAGGGGCTCAGTATCCTTAATTAAAGTCTATTCTCCATGTTTCAATCTCTTGCTTTCTTTTAGTCAATGCAACTTCTTGAAAATGTAAGTACTTTTCTTGAGTACTATACTCAAGAGTTAGAAGTAATATTCCCATGGCAATATGAAATTTTATACCAGATTGTACCATATTCTTGGAATTTAACTTTTCAGCTCTTTCAGATACACTGCGCATTTATGGTTTCTTAGTGTTTTTCTTTTTTGGAAACAAATAGCCTATACTCATATATATCATAAAAATCCTTCCTTTTTTCCTTGGCTTTTGGAGTCGAAGTTAGGTGTACCAGCTCTAACCGCCTTTTCACATGGACAATTGGATTTCTTCTTCCTCACACTTCCATTCTTGATAGCAAATATAAGAGCATTGAAGTTATAATTTTTTTACAAGGTCATGTTAGGATTAGAAGTCCTGAATATGTCACGTAATTCCATGATGAATATTCCAAGTTGTTCTTATCAAAATTAAAAGGAACTAATTACATGTATAATTTAGCTAGTTGATTATGTTACCATAGTTAAATCCCAACTTAAAAGAATTCCATGTTGCTTCAATTTGTAAATGTACAAATTACACTTGACATTTTCTCCTTCTTTTAGCTAATGATGCAATAAAGGGAGGAGACTCAGGAAGATGTTTACCAAATGTCCAATCTTTATTTTCATTCGTGAGAACTATTCTCAAATTACGAATTTAAACAAGATTGATTAGTCCTATTGTCGAGAGAACAACTTAGCAATGTAAGATCATGTTCTGGAATAAAATTTAATATTAATGGATATTGATTAGCTCAATAATAATTATATATGAAGAATGTTGTAATAGTTCTACGAAAATATAAGAACAACAATTATGAATTAAACATAAAGAAAGTAATGGAATACTTATTTGAATCATAACCAAGCGGTTTACAAGCTTGAAGGTAATATATGATGAACAACATAAGTTAGAGATGAAAAAATGAGACTTGTATTTTAGATATGTTTTCTATTAACATCAGTAAATCCCTCTATTTATAGAAAATTAAAGTACAACATACATAGCAGGCCATGCTAACGTATGGTATATAGATAGCCATACCATCCTTTATTGAATAACATAATTTACTCAAAAGATATGTTCTGAAAAGTAACCAAAAGTAATTTCTTCATTGGTAAACAAAATGAAAAATGGATTGGGAACTTTGTACCATCTTCACATATTATCTTCACATCACTTAGACCTCATTCTTCACACAACATCCAAAAAGCACATAGCTATTTTCCGTAGCTGGCGAGGGTCACTTCGTGTTTCAACAATTTCCCCGAAGTGGCCTCACATCTAACTCTTCATTTCACAAGTTTGATGAACTTGATCATAAGTTTACAAAACTTCTTGAAAGCTAGAATTCATTTTGTTATTTGCCACACAATATCCTTCACTTTATTTGTAGTATAGTTTGATCAATCCACAACACTTAAAACTCCTTCTAGTTGAGTGTTTTAGCGTTTATGGAAGGAAGATGCATGAAGTTCCTTTCAATAAACTTTCCCAAGAGAATGATAATATCAAATTGTTAGAAGTGTGTGGCTCCACACTTAAGCTCTTGAAGTCCTTACTTTGTGAGCATGCCAAGCTCAAGTAAGGGTAAGTCCACATGATTGGATAGTATTCAGTGAATTTCAGCATCGATGGATGCAAACTTACAAATGAGTGATTTAAGAAAATTAGAGACACTGGAGTATACTAGTTTGAAGTTGTGGTCTTTCTCAATCCTTAATCTAAATTTGCTCATAATGAAAATATTTCTTCTAGGTTCATGTTAGCAAAGTATGCATGGGTAAGATCATACTCTACACTGTACGCATAAGATTGTATTGATAAAAAAGAGCTCGCATGAATGATCTTTGTTTGTAGTTTTTTGCATACTGTGGTCTTTCACTTGACCAAATCTAAGTTAAATCTCTTCCATTTTTGTTATGAAACATACACAAGAGAGGAAGTCTTCTTTCTAGTCTCAAGAGTTGAATGATCAAGATCATCAAAAACTTTGAAGAATTTTCCATTTGGAGAAAGAGTAATGTCCTGGTAAGTGTTTTCATTTGGAGTTGCATAAGAGAGATGTGGCACATAATCTTCATCAATCATTCGGAAAATTTGATTAAACCATGATTGAATAAGGGTTTCATCCATGAAGATATTTACACCAAACCTTGCAAATATCTCCTCTTGAAGCTTCCCAACTGTCCAAGCTCTTTTCTTATATTTTGTTGCTGGAGAATCTTCTACTTTTGCTGAAGAACAGAAGCTTTCTTCATCTTCACTTTTGGTTTTTATTGGATATGGATAATTAGCTTCATTTTTTGGAGGGGAATTGGGAGGAGTCTCTGTTTTTTAAGGGGATTTAGGAGGAGTTTCTCCAAGAAAAAATCACTATGGACCATGAATTCTACCCTTGATAATGATGCATTCTTTTTCTTCTACATTGGACAAACTTTTGATCTATTGGCAAAATAATGAGAATCATATTAATCTTCTTCTGAAAGGTAAATGTGTACATCGTTTACTTTTTAATCTTTATAAGCTCTAAAATCAAAGACAAAAACTACCTCTTCTCTTATCTATACTTCTTCTTTCTTTGAAACCTTCATTGCTTGGTTCATTGACACCTCCATCTTGAGCATCTTGACCTTCTATCTCTTCTGATCACATTTTCCACCATATCCATCCATTCTTAAGTTCTTTGAATGGTATGAAAAATATGCACAGTGAGGACTATACCAGCTATGTACTTTGACACTTTGTCTTCTTAATTTAACGTTGCAAGAAATTCTTTATTGGATGTAGCTTTTGATTTTTTCTCTCTCACATGGTCTTTTTGAATTTGGTAAACTTTGCAGCCTCTTATGTAGACTTGGGTTTCTACCTGGAACAACTGTCACTTAAAGCTTTTTAGAAATGGTATCCATCAAGTTGTGCCCCAGGTTCATAGATCCTTGCACCAAAGTACTCCCTCTACCTAAATCATTTTCCCATAATGTAGATAGAGTAGGATTCCAGGACTTCATTAATCTCCTTGGTCTGAAACTAAATTTGGCCTCGATTCTCTTATGGCAAAGATATTTGAAAAAAAGAAACTTGTTGTGCATTAAGTGTTTATGTCTGAAAGAAGGAGGACATAGCCTAAAGGGGAAACAAATTGTACATGATTTCTCCTAGAGACTGGGAATTTTAACGACATCAATATTTTAAACCTTGTTCTGGCTTCATCTCCATTTGACGGTGAAATAATGCACCTCCTGCACCTGAGTCGTCAGTTGGGATTCTTTTGAATGATCCAACATTATCTCCAATACCATTCATAGCTTTTTGAGAAGCTCTAGTGCCTAGTATGGGTGTCTTTTTAGCTTTGTGGTATAGGAGTTTGACGTCCTCTTCCTAAACAAAGTTTATGATTCAGAATCACTGGACACTTTTTGTGGTGAACCCTTTTCTTACTTGGGTAGTGGTTTCTTTTTTTTCCAATGGTTTTCTATCTTTTATGTTTTCTCTCGAAATTATATTTGTCTATTGTCTTACACGTAGTGATTGTCAGGGGAGAACGTTATGGCTCTACATCGTTTGGGAAGAGTATACATTTCCATCATGCAAGGACATAAGATATAAAGATTGTTACCAACAAATACTCCAACTTCATTATGAAGTTCCTTATGTAGACAGTTTATGACCTCGCAGATGTAACCTTTGTAAAACTTTCATGAGGAGACTGTTTTCCAACATACTGTAGAAAGTCTTCTAATAGGATTGTCCCCAATCGACTTGTACTTCGGTGAACATGCTCCAAGGAGTATCCAAGAATAGTTAGCTTATTTCAATGATTTCTCCTATTCTACTAGACAAGTATCAATTATGTGATGGCATACAAACTTCCACATTGTATGTAACTTAGTTTTGTGGAAATCGGCAGCTCCTTTGAGTTTAAATTGATACCTTATTTTGTAAAGTACCCTAAAAACTTCATTCTGGTAAAGGTTTTTTAATTCAATAATTGTAGGCGTTCGGAGATGAATAACATTGATGAACTTTTCTTTAGTAAGAATTATGGTTGAGTTGTTAACCGAAAGAAACCTAATTCTATTCAAATCATACTTGGGAAAATATACATAGAAAATACATTTGACGATAAGCTTCAATGGGATTACTTTAGTTGTTGCATCAAAGGGACCATAAAAAGGTTGTGTCTTCAAGAACTGGATCATCATTTGAACTATTTCGTCATAGGTATCATTGTGATTGAACATGGCATAAAAATTGCTTAAGGCAATTAAAGGACCAAGAGCCTTCATAGTTGAGGTTGAGCTTAATGTACCCTTTATTTTTTTTCTTGGAAGCGCTAGATTTTTCTGTTGTTATAGAAAATATTTTAAAGAACTGCTCGAAAATGGATTTTTGTAGGTGGGTGGGGGGGGCGAAGATGAAGTTCATATCAGTTTTAGAAAAGCGTTAAGCTTTTCTTGGAGAGGGGATTTACCTTAAATAGCATCTGATTTCAAAGTAATTAATTTTTGGGCAGTTGGTTGTTTGAAAGGTTTTTTATTTTATGAATAATTTAGGATATAGATTGATTTAGACTTCATGGGAATTAAATGTGCGTATAGGATGCATTTAATGAATACGAAGATTAAGTCTAAAACTTGTGGGGATGTGGGTGGGATGTGATGGATTGAAGGTTGATATGCAATAGGTCAGATAAAAGAAAAGTCACTTGAAAAGCAAAAACTGGCAAGACTATTATTTTATTAAAAAGAGGTGGACACAATACGTGTCTACGGAAGTTTTTGTAGAGAACAAAATGACAAAACATTTAATAACCAAGAATAAAAGCATTCCTTTTGAAACCTTAGAGAATTGACTTTTGGGTCATTAAATAGCATGTCATTTGCAATATCTATTTATTGCCAAACAAGAAAGTAACTTTAGTGTTTTGAAGGATGAACTACGATATGTGATTGTAGTTGCGGTGATTAGCTTTCAACTGTGGTGAACACTTAGATAAAAGGTTAGATACAATAAAATGACATCAAGGGTAAAAAAGTTATATATAAACTTCTGGGAATGAGAATTGTGCTCAATAGCTAAACTTTTAAAGATAAGCTAAAGAACATGGACAAATCTAAGTACTTCAAATATTTTGAAAATATCCTATGGCGAACCAAAGATTCATGATAAAAAAAAAACAAATGTTTAAATCAATTAGTCAAGGCAATTTAAGTACATACATTTGTTAATTGCAATGACTTTAAAATTTGTCACCATAGTTATCTTTTCAAAAAGAATCGAGGTTCTGGTTTAAAAATCCATTAAGTTTTATAGAATCAAGTGCTTTGGTAAAAACATCGACTATTTTTTCATGCGAATGAATAAAAATTAGTTCAACGTTATGAAAGATCATATATGCCTAATAGTCATTATAGAATTCTAATTTTAATAACATATGATCATATATGATCACACGTTACTGCGAGTTACTAATAAGTTATTATTTATTAGTGTAATTTTGATTATTAATCAATATCAACAGTTGTATTTAATTAGAAAAACATTATTTTATGAAAATAATATTTTCCAACAACATTTTTTGGACACTTAGACTAACAATTTAACATTCAACCGGCTATTTCTGGATAAAGTAAAATAAAAATATTTTGTATACTTGTAATCATGGCCTAAATTTACTTGGTGAGGACATATGATGCTTTTTATTTTTTTTGTTGCATCAACAATGGATATAAGAAAGACTACCATCTTTTCTATAGAAAATTGTAAAAGTGCCCATATGGTATGCTTTTTTTTAGGATTTAGTTCAAAACACAATTTTTTTGGATTGGTAATCCTTTTCAGCTAGTTTCGTTGTATTTTTGGTCCCTCTGAATAGTAAAATGATTGTAATACCCTTGGATATTTATTTTTTATTTTTCTAAAAAGGGTCTCTCTCTCTCTCTCTCTCCCTTTCTCCCTCTCTCTCTCTCTCTCTACGTGAGCTTCTTCGATTTCTTCATTTCATAAATCCTACAACTAATATAGCAATATAAGAAATTGAAGAATTTCTTTGCTCAAAACATGTCCAAGATCTTCCAATTCCAACAAATCTTAAGCCTACTTTCGATCCATGACAATTCCTAAATCTTAGCTTCAAACACATTCATCTCCATCAGCGTCATTGTCGTCTTGTTCACGAAGGTTTACCCCTCCAAAACCCTTAAAATTCCTATCAAAACCCTCTATCCAAACGTCTCCATCCTCATCATTTGATGTTTATTGTTACATCGTGGGTAAGGGTGAGGCGGTGAACTTCTCAGGTTCAGTAGCACCAATGGATTTGTGGGTTAAGTCAAGATAGAAACGCAAGCAGTTGAAGAATATATAGATAAAGTCAACATAGAAACGCAAGGAGTTGAAGAGACCAAGAAGATGATATCAGATATTCTCTGGGGCATTACTAGTTCCTCTTCTCTGCTGAATCAATTTCTTCTTCTATCATCCTTATTCCTATTTCTAAACTTAATTTCATCGATTGTCGTTGACACACCAACAACATACGATTGGAGTGCGATTTTCTTGTTGGCCTTTTTATGGAAGGCGTCATAGGCTACGACCTGAACAAAAAGAGTTGATAGTTCAAGGCTTACATGCAAGAGGAGTGTTCTTTCAATATTCAAGGCTACAGTCTCAAGTACAAGTCAACGATTAATGGTGTGATAGAAAAAGGTAAGTTGAAATATATAAAGTACAAGTAAATGATTAGTGGTGTGATAGAGAGGTTGTGACAACCTACTAGAAACTTTGGAAACAATTAGAATCAATGGATAGTGTACTTAAATTTCACATTGATACGTGAATTTTACTACTACTTAACTTGAGTGACTATCTATATTAGGGTCACTCTTTGACCTGAACACCATTTCATGAATCATATACACACATCATGTATTTGACCTAGAAGTAAAAGTTAAGTCAGAGTCTCATAGAAACTTAAGTCAAAGTTGAAGAGTAGGACTAGTATACTTGATTCCTCAATTTCGCTTGAATCTCGGAATCACTACATAGAATGCCAATAAACCGATAAAAAAATATTACAAATATTATTTCTAACTTGAATAAGAGTTATGAAATTCTAAAATAGTTTGAAGTCTCAAAATTTAATTAATTTTGATATCCAAAGACTTACAAACTCTCAAAAACCCTAAATGCCCTAAAAACTCATATTTATAAACTTTAACCTTAAAAATTTCTATAAAAATAATTATGAAACTTATAATATGATCTTATAATAATAAAAATTATGAGAATGCATTTAAGAAAAATAAAATTTAAGTCATTAGTATTTAACCTTTTTCTATGCAAAAAAAAAAAAATCAAGGTTTTGTGAAGGAAAATTTAGAATAAGGTGCATGTTTTATAAAAACTTGATATTTTTATAAAATAAAGTTATATTTTATAAAATTTAAGAGAGGGAGACCCTCTCTCCACTCCAAAGTCGGACTCCCTCCTCCCAAGATGCTTCTCCTCTTCCCAATACACCATTTTCCCAAGTCATTAATCAATTTCACTCACCCACTCCATCTCTTTCTCTCTCACACTCCTTCACTTCATTTTCTCTCTATTCTCTCTTACTCTCTCCCTCCTCGCAAGATGCACTTTTCTACACGTTTTGGTGGAAAATTACCACATGCATCCAAAGTTTTCTTTCAAAAATGATTTTTGAAAATTTCAAACTCATGAATGATCTTTAAACCAACATGCATGTGATGATCTTCAAGCTTAGATCCTTGATTATCAAAGTTTGTTGTTAAAAGCTTTCAAATATGTTAATGAAAGATTTATTTGCAAATAAATATCTAAAAATCATTTTCTAACCAAATCCGATTTTTCCCAGATTCTCATCAACAAAATAGGATACTCTGTAAATTTCCATAAGATAATTCATTTTTCTTAAATTATTATAATTAATGCAATAAAATAGGTCGATAAATCATATAAAATACTTCCACAGGTCTATAAATCCGAAATAAATTCGTGGAGGACCCCTATAGTGAATAATGACCTCTCATTAAATTTCATTGATTTATGTGGCTGTTTAGTATGATTTTCGATTTTCTTTTTGTTTGGGTATAATAAATCACAAAGCCACTTTAGGGAGTGTGAAAGTTGTATCTAACAATTTTCGCAGCTCTTACCTGTGGTCGGACACTCAGAAAATTAATTTTAGAATTTTTCATCATGCCTTCCTATTTTTCCTAATTTTTGGTAATTATAATGGCCTAAACATAGGAAAAATAGTTCTGATTATCCTAAATTTATGA